AGACATATCGAAAGGCTCGAATAAAAGTGGTTCGGATGGTGCGTTTTGGCGCAGAGCAGCATCGGAGAGATATAGTTACATCATTAATAGTCATAGACTAAGTAGACTAGCTAGTAGGATTCTACGATTTTCGTTTTAGCAAAGAGTTGATGACGAAACACCAGGAGAAATGAGTTGTGGCAACCCTCCACACCTTATGGGGCCTGTCTATAGGGGGGCAAGATAAGAGATATTTTATAGATCTCTCTTGAGGGTGAACATAATGCAATTCAACACACGCAGATTAGCCATAGCAGCAAGAATAGTACTTATAAGAGCACATTTCAGTGTCTTCCACACGAGATCATGAAGTATTACGAATCTGTAAAACACTCATTATTACTAACGGTACATGATATTCTACGACAACATCATTTCCTAGCACTGTTTGTCTACTGTTTTTCAGAGTTATAGTCATTAGCTGGAGTACTTCTGATCGTGACAACAGAAGAGTATCATATTTTATTTGCGAAAGGCACCTGGCTGATAAGACACCAGTCAAGAGCGACAACCCTGCTGAGCCTCGGACTCCGCCTACTTCTCCTGGCTGCGTTGATGTTGCTTTTCCACCAGATCCAGAAGTAGATGCGTTTATACCGTGTTGTAGTCAGGAAGCTATAAAGTCGACTAGGTTTGACTTTTGAGGGGTATCTTTTGCGCGAGGTGTTATTTTGGACGACGTAAAGTTATCGCTATGAAGAGTACAATAATGGCTCCTCAACAATAGAAGATGGATTGCGCGTACTCAGTACAAGAAAAAGGGTCTGCTTCGTGAAGGTTGCGCTACTTGTCGCCATTCGGATCACACCCTGACTGAAACATTGAAGTTGGCAAATGGCATACTTTAGCGTTTGAGCTCCTGGCATACAATTACTCACGCAGGTTTGGCAGATTGAATGTTTGTCAACCAGCTCCGGTTTCGCATGAATGTAACTACCAGATCTGCATTCTGAAAAAGTCACGCAGCGGAGTAGCAACGAACTCCTTTTAGCCGTAGCCTTAGTTCAAGGGCCGATTGGCTTGGTCACATCGCAGTTATTAGAGATAGATTAATCAACTATAGGCCGATACTTGTTACTTGGCTTCGGTACTCTTTATAAATCTCTTCTTACTTTTTTTTATAATAGATTCATTTTTTCAAGTCAGAGAAGTGTTGTTACAGACGACGATGAAACGCGGCTCAGAAGATTTTTAGAAATCACACTTAATCTTTATGTATTGAAACACAAGAAATGCCGAAAATGGTCGAATGGTGGCATGGTGCGCATCTCACGACGCAGCAGGGAATCTCACTTTGTCGGTTGCTGTTGAATTTGGTCGTGTAGGACCAGCAGGGGCGGCAAGAGTTGCATGGGCGGTTGGTGCGCCGCCTCCAGTCATTACAGTTCCGGCGCATGATGCTGTTGGTTTGGACCACGCTCTAGGTGATAGTGCACTTGGTGGGTATGCTTAGGACTTCGTGTTTTGACGTGGGTTTAAGGGCGATGAGAGCTGGTCCATAAGTGTGAACCCATTCCGGCGATATACATTACTCCTGCCTGAGTCTCTCTACGCGCCTTTGGGACAAATTATGGACCATGCAGTGCCTGTGGGATCCCCTTGTTTTGTTTCTGTGGGATCCCCCTCCTTTGGTGAAGCCAGGGTATAATGAGTTAAGGTTAGCAATTTTTGCGCGTATTCAGGCATTCACTGATTGAAAATAGAGATCGTCCCTAATTTACAAAGATCCTGTCGAGCAACCAAATATTTTACGCTATCCTTGGAAACGAGAAAGTACTTGTTTGTGTTTTAACATTCGGGAGAAGACACGATAGCCACAGATCACTTTGTAAGTCAACAGAACAACGACAAACACAAGTAGCTATAGTTCCCTATCTTAGAATATGAAGATTATCTACTTTATTCCCCACGTTTTCCCTAGTTCCCTCAACTGCATAGAAGAGTCTTCCCTACAAGCACCCGCCACCTACCACCTACTGACAACAGCCATCGAGAGGGCAACAGCCATTTGTCACGGCACCAACTCGGGTGGCAAAGCAACCATGCCAGTCAAGTATGGAACACCTGCTTACCGCAGGAAGATTGAAGCCAATCGGCGATCCAGAGAGAAGAAGCAGACACAACAAACAGATGAGGAACGGCAGGCAGAGTTGAAAGTCAAAAGAGACTTCATGCAGAAGCATCGAGAACAACAATCTATAGAAGAACATTTGATTGCCAAAATAAAGGATCAAGAAAGGAAACAGATCAGACACTCCAGACGCTTGATCAAGGGATTTTTTGATGCTGAGGCACAAGATTTCAAAGAAAGAATGCGCTGGATTGATCGAGCTTTGGAAATAAGCAAGCTAAAGCTTGAGCTGAAGTTGGAGCGACATTAGCTACAGAAGCTACGTGGTGTTGAAGACCTAGAAACCTCTGTAAATAGAGGATGGATGAAAGCTCAGCTTACAGACATCACAGAACATGCAAAGAAAGAACATGCAATCTTAAGGCATGATTGGGACGAAAGGCAACAGAAACTCCATGCGAAGGATCCGGGTTTCTACGAAGCAGAGTGCAACATATTTCAACATACGTATGATAGAAAGAAAATCGCAAGAGAGAGGAAAAATATTGCAACCCATCATGATCTACAACTTGAGCGGGTTAAAGAATCACTCGACAAAGCAATTTGTGCTCGCAAGGGTTTGTGGTGGCGGAAAAATACATTGCCAGGGCTTGTAGAGAAATACGGCTACAGTAAATGAAATGCTTCTGTATCATTGTCGACATACTGTATTAGCCAGTGGTCTATCTACTGATCCTCCAGATTCTACTCTTTGTACATGTATTCCAGCAATCTCAAATGTGATCCTCTTCTATCTGCCCTTCTGCCGAGGTATCGCAGCTCCCGCTGACTTAAAGTGTCAGTCACGAGGCGTCAGTCCCATTGTAGACCGGTGGGGCCGCCCATTACGGGTAGGTATTCATCATTCAATCTTGGCGATGAAAGTATTATAGTCTAGACTAATGAATTGTGCGGAAACATTTCTAAATACTAGCTAGCGTAGTACCATACTGTTTTCCAGATCAAATTTCGTCTCCTGGAGACGATTTGCTTTAGGGGTAATGGTACCGATGGGGGCAGAGGTTTGAATTATACCCGGCGCGCATTACTTAGAAGGCCCTGTAGAAGTCTACGTATTCGACTAGTATTGTATTGACGGGATACAGTCAACGCATGTACATGCACATGAAAGTCGCCTTGCGTTCTTCACATTTTAAAAGTTGGCTCCTAATTTTTCGGGGTCGCCTGTGATTTGATTGGACGCTTGATCTTTTTTCAATGACTGACATTGAATGACGTACGAGGTGCAATGCGAATCTCAGAAAGGTAGTTGTAGTAATAAAAGTTTTTATATACAGATTAATTTACCCTATATCCCTACCGTTTATACTTATAACAAGAACCCGTCTTCTCGCTGGAACATTTCATCGTATTGATCTTCTCCTAGGACAGAAAGCCCAATAGTATCCTTAAATCTTGCAAGCATGTCTCTCATTCGTTGTGGCATGGCAAAGTTCTTTGGATCCCAATCCAGCTTCTTCAATAAGAACAAACCACTCATGGTTCGCACCCTTGATAACACCACGTAAGCCCAGTTTTGACAGTATCGCCATGAATGTACCAATAACCACACTGCAGTATATCCCTGTAATTTGTGTCCAGTTGTCGCAGAATTGCTGATAATCGGGAACTGCTTACCCTTCATCTTGGTGTGTACAACTTCTCCGTCATAAAACCATCTGGTACTGAAAGTGTAGTCTTGCTCCGTTACATAAAAGTACGTGGCATAATAGTCTCCATTTCATGTTCCACAAGGATAGATTTGACTTGACCTGAGAAAAAAGCCCGAATCTTGCAGCCGTTGTCGAGTTGAATAATCATGGGGGTGCAACCATCCCTCACATTCACCTTTCTCACAAAAGCCGAGATCCATTGGCTTCTCCATTCGGAACTTTCGTGTTCTCTGTAAACATTACAGGACCACCCTTATATAACTTCAAACCAGGATCAACACGTTTTCGTGAGTCTGAACCGGGTTTTAACGAGCCTTCTCCACATGTTGAAAAGAAGTGCTTTAAAAACGAATTGCTCTTAACAGGAACCAGTGTCCCTGTTTGATTGGCCATTTGAAGATCGTCCATGAAAATGAGTACTGCATCCATCAGCACGGAATCATCAGCAGGTTTGTTCTTTCCGCAAAATTCTTCGAAGATATCTGAGTTAATGGCATCTCGATCTCGATTCAGATAAGTAGCAACTTGAATTTTCTCTGGTGGAACATGGGTTTGGCCAACCACGCAGGCGTCATTGATGGTCTCAATATCTTCTTCTGTTGTTCGCCCTTCACGGAATCTTAAACAGCGTTGCCCCCATTCAGGATCGTCTTTGAAGCGGTGCATTCCATCTCACTCAATAAATGAATTCAGAGAGTCATGCAATTCAGGAATGGTGTGCTGAAGATTGTAAATTGGGGGCGTCCCACTGGTTCAAGTTGAGAGTAGTCCCCCGCGTACACCAAGTTAAGTCCCCAAATGGTTGGTATTCGTCTTGCATCAAGGTTTTGGTGTAGTGGAATATCTTCACTAAGTCAAGTTCCCCGGCGAATGAAATTTCGTCGATGATATGCATCCGTGCGTCACTCCTTTCTTCTACCAAGTTCTTCGCCACACTTTCCCGAGATCTGTTCAATCCCACAGCTGAATGCGTTGTTCCCCCATGCAGTATTGTAGAAGCAACCCCCGACATAGCAGTGACAACAATGGTTCAATTTAAATGGATGATCAATCAAACTGCAGAATTCTTTGCCATAGGCCATGACTAAGTCAATTACGGTAGTCTTTCCACTTCCTCCAGGCCCATGTAGAAGAAGAATCAGTTTGTTGCCACGACTTCCCTTCAAAATCAAAAGGTTTTAACGAGAAAGTCGGACTTTTGCCTTCAATCCCATATCCGGGACTCCAGCCTCTAAGTCCACCTTTTTAGCTTCCTCATAAAATGTGAACAAGAAGGCTGCAATGTTACACTGGAAAGCCCTTCTCTTTTTGTCGTCCAGATTGGCAGCCGTTGCCCAGTCACTTATACTTTTCACGCTTCCATTCGCCTGCGACACCTCAACCTGCGGATTGTACTTTAATACATTTGCCCTTTGGATGAACTCCCGTTTGTTAAGTAGAACTTCAATGATCTTGTGATACCGAGGTGTAGGCGGTTCCACTCTTCTTCTCTTTGTAGTGCCAGTCGTGTGAAATTCAGCACTTATGGTAACAAATTCGTCTTCATCTAACGATTTCTCAGGAATGGTTAACTGCACGTTGTATCCTGGGTTGTCGCTTCCATTGTGAAGTATAGCCGTAAAACTAAGACCATCAAATGTTCTTGCCATAAAGTCCCGGTTTGATTCTGTTGTGCCCTGGCTCTCAAGATCACTTATCCAATCTTCGTAAACTTTTTGAATCAGATCATCTTTCTCATGTTCGTGCTCATCATCAGATTTGTTTTCGTACATGTTCTCCTCCCAATGTTTCGGTCTATAGGGCTTAGTTACTCGTTGAAGATCATCCTCTTTCACTTTATACCTCGGGTTGTTGAAGGCGGTGTCTTGAATGTTCTGGATGAATGACAGGTTCCTTTCTGAGAAGACGACGGTTTCTTCGTTATTCGCTTTTCTCAGAACATAGTATTCATACACTTCACGAAGTCTTTCAGCGGAAGCATAGTTGGTCTGGGGTACGGACTTCTTTAATCCAGCCAAACATCGATGCGGCAAGTACAAAGCCAATAGAACTTCCGCATAAGTATCCATTGCCTTGTTCAGTTCGCCAGTAGGACACGTCACGATATTCGCACCAAAACCGCCTGCATCTGAGAAGGCCATTGTGGAACCCGAACCAATGCTTCTTCTTTCCTCAAAATTACTCCTGCTGAAGTTTCACCAGTTAACATCCCGTCGTTTCCTTTGATCGTTGATGGATGCACGAAATGCCCAGTGTCAGCCAAAAAAGGCCATTTCTCCTCATCAGTTCGCTGACGCTTTCGCCTGTGGGGACACTCCTCATTGGTCGTTCCTCGTAAAGCTCGTAAAACGGCTTCACTGAC